CTGAATTATTGAATTAAAAATTATAACCTTTCTCGATTTATGAAAGTCATAAAAAATAAATAGTCGAAATGACAGAAATTTAGGAAATTATGGGATACCATGCGGCCTTCAACAATGAACAAACTTCATGCCGTATAATCAGCTGTAAAAGGCACCAACATGACAATAATGTGAAACAATTTTTATGCATGTTCGATCTTTTTTTTTTTATGTATATAAAAGAACTTTATCCAAGGTTTTAACTAATGAAAGGCACAGAACTACAGTTACATCAACTGCTATAGTGTTTGATTATGTTATCATTAGTATGTAACGTCTTACACAGTCAGTGTGATCATTTTCTACAATAATATGTTGTTAAGTAACATTTTTATTTTTCATTTATTCCTTTGAATGATTGTCCTTTATCCCTAGAAGTCAATGCCTCCATTCTTGTTTAACAAGGCTATAATCTTTTCACAGGTCATAACATATAGATCTCACTGGTAAATACAAATACAAGGTCAAAATGCCAACAAATACAATAATGGGGGTTTCGGTTCATAAATCTTTTAAGAAAGAAGAACTATCCAAATTTCTAAAATACACAATGTTTACAGTAAACTGACAAACAGGGTTCAAGGAAAATTATTTTTATCGAATAAAACAGATGCATCGGCCAAATAGTTCAAAATTCCACGATAATGGATGGCTGTTTAACGTCCAGTGGCGACTATTACATGCATAATCAGAACAAGAACATGTCAATGTGATTTGAAAATGAACCCTAATTTGAACTTTACTGAATTAGATTGTAGTGTACTACGTCACAAGGTATCAGTCTGTAGACTGACATCCTATCCTGACACAAATTTCTGACTCAAAGGCGATCAGTCTTTGGTTCTAACTTCTAAATGCCATGTGTTTAAGCAGAAACGCGGCACATACAAGTCTTTGCCTTGATCCGACCGGGGATTAAACCCATGACCTCCTGATTCGAGACAAGCGCGCTACAGCGAGACCCCTCTCAGCTAGATAGTTTTTACTAATTCAGAACATTATATTTTAATCAGAAAGTGTAGAACGTACGATGAGGCATTAAATGTCGAATTTATTTCCAATTAATGTAGCTTGTTCCTCCTGATAATCGATTATCCAAACTTTTAACATTTTTTTTCTCTGCAAAAGAGTAAAATGGGTTAAGAAATTTCTGTAATTGAACGATTAAAGAAATACTATCGCTGTTGAAATAAAGAAATTCAGAATGTTTTACAGTGTTAAATGTTAAGATATCATCGGTTATTCTGCGTAATAATAAATCTGAAAACAAGTCAACTCCGGACCTACGCTTCACGGTTACTTAATATTTGACTTTTATATAATGTGTCAAAAAAACAACCGCATAGTCTTAAAAATATATAATGGTTTTTCCACGTCATTTTGCGTGAAAATAAGATGTGTATGATTATCAGTAAGACAACCAGCCAACGTCCAACACTTTTAAGTCAATATGAATTGCGATTAACCTAAAAAAATAATTATGCAATAGAATTCCCTTAGTCTGAATTAGAAAAATGTGAATGTATATAACCAGGGGCGGATCCAGCCATTTATAAAAGAGGGGGGGGGGGGTTCCGAACCCAGGATAAAAGGGGGATTCCAACTATATGTCCCCATTCAAATGCATTGATCGTCAAAAAGACTGGATCCGCCACTGATAACTATACTGCGTAATCAATTTGAAGAATGATTGTTCTTTGATACATTATTGTTTCACAATGTAAACTTGTCACCGACGTGAGGTTTGTCTCTTAGAAATTATGGACACACACACACACACAGTCATACGCAGATTGTAGATATCTTCTATTTATGTTATATCTATGTTTTTGTTTAATGTAAATTTTCTTTGCATTATCTTATTGACACCCTTCTAACATTGTTAATCACATTTGTTCTACTCATGCACTTTCTCCATTTCAAATAACTAAACAACCAACTGCCCATAAATTGTGATACCCGAAAATATTTTTCTGCTTCTTAGCTCTGTTTTCATATGTATATGATTTAAAGTGTACATCTTGCATTTGTTTCTACATGTGTGTGCATTGAAAATGATTGATTAAATATGTTTCCTCCAAAGAGTTGCATTGATATAACAATCTATCATAATGACCAGTATATCCCTGTTAAACTATATATATAATTTATTTACGACCATTATATAGCAACCTCACGGGAAAAACATCCGTTTCTTTCTGTTAATGTTTACATCATTTTAAATGCAGGTACACATGTAATCATATGTACAATGTTGCACACATATGTCCAAATAATAAATATTATATTGATTTTGATTCAAAAAGGAAAGAAAAAAGGAGAAGTGAACATTTAGGGATGATAATCGATATATAAATGACATTATAAATAGCCTTTTATAGCCGACGATACGGGTTGGGGATTTCTCATTGTCGACGGCCGTACGGTTGCCTATAAATGCTTGCACCACATCACTTGAACTTTGGTGGATAGTTGTCTCATTGGCAATCATACCACATTTACTTATTTTTTATATTGTAACTCATGTGTGCTGATGCGGTGGTGATCAAACTAAATCAATAATATGCACCAACCTGTGGTTATATGTTAAGCTAAGTTTAAAGATGTTCGCTACTTTTGTTTTTGACCTTTATATCAGATATTCGGAATGCTCTAGTTTTATCCATGTTGTGCCATAAAAAAAATTGCCGACTAACAAAAAGGTGTCAATATTAAATGTATGCGAAATATTCAATGGCTTATATCTCAAAAACAAGGAAACAGTCCTTTCATTTTTGTATGTCTTTTTAAGTTCCGCTATCTATATAATATCAATCTATAACAGTCTTTTAAAAAGCTTGTTGAAACAGATGAGCGAACATCCTTTAGTCCTTTATTTTATTTCCTGCTTTCTTTAAGATTGTACGAATCATTTTCATGGGGATATTTGTGTCTTCGAGGTTGAATCAAACGGACTATTTTTAGGGCAACATACTTCACTTGACATTAGTACAGGGGCGGATCCAGAACCTCGATGTCTGAGGAGGGTGGGGCCATAAAACCAAAATTAAATAATTGTTTAGATATAACTACAATGTACTTATTTTATTTTCTCAGCAAGGACAGTACGAAATTTTAACAATATTATAGTTTAACTTATGTACATGTATATTTGGCAAACAATATGAACATACAGTATTTGTTTTCTTTAGCTTTCAATTACCTTGTAAAATACTACATCATCTTTAAAGATGATTAATACATGTCAACACTGTATGCTTCATTCATATATAATGAAGATTAGGTTATTTAAACTCGTATCATGATAATTATGATTGACAGGCATGTACTAAATTGCGGTTTATATTTTCTGCACCGAACTTACACTTTACTGATGATTTAAATGTAAGCATGTACACATACAATGTACCTGTATTTCACAAATCATAGCACATTTGTTACTGAATCAACTTTATAATTGTATATCTACAATTTGTATTTTGTTTTCGTTTATAATTCACATATATCTTCCACATAATAATGAATAATCATATACCGCGCCGTTTGGAAATTTCATTACAATCATTATCGTAAGGGATTTGCTTTGTTTTTTTATAAATATGTCCAATTTGTTTGGCGATACAATGATTTCCATTGTGATGAAATAATTCTGCGCATTAATTACCACTGTGACTGAACACACATTTTCTTCATTCTTTTATCGACTGCATCGCAGTATGTGTTGTACTCTTCCTTTTTCAGACATATTCTTAAAATAATATTTACACCATGTTGCCATAAATGTAATTGTAAATAGCAAAAAAAAAATAAAATTGAAGAACAGAAACGGGGAATGTGTCAAAGAGACAACAACCAGACCAAAGAGCATACAAAAGACCAAGGCCACCAATTAGTCTTCAGCACAGCGAGAAAATCCCGCACCCGAAAGCGGGCTTCAGCTGGTCCCTAAACAATAATGTATACTAGTTCAGACCCTATTGTATGGTAAAGCATGATATAAACAGGATATCTAATTACATTTTATTTTGGCAAATAGTGTCTTTCGATGCAAAATTTTACAAAAACATACAATTGCAATATTGTATCAAAGTTGTCCACATCAATGTTTATCCCTTGTTACGTACGTATCACAACAATGTTTATCCCTTGTTACCTACGGATCGAAACGTAAAAGCATTGAAAAATTCATATATAATATTATTTAGTCTCTTTAATAATCGAGCTCCGTAAGTTTCAACAACATTTTGATTTTGACCCTGAAAGAGAAATAGATACAATGGAAATTGACCATACTACAATTTCGACTTACCGCTTAAACGAATTGCATGTATTCTTTTGATTTACACAAATCAGACACTACTTCAGTTTGGGCATTTTTACTCCAGAGTTTTCAATTAAATATGATCTAATATGAGAGTTCGTTTGTTTGGATCCTGAAACTGCGTACATGTAAGCAATTAACAGTGATACAAATGAGCAAATATTTGATTAAGAATTTATATCTATTGTATCAATGTTCAACCTGCCAACGGTGTCAGTTGTAAACGTTATACGATAAGGATAACAAAATCAACATTGGAGGCAATTAAATAATCAAATAAACACATAATCATACACGGATTCAAAATATATTGGTCCTATTTTACTCGGAATTTCAATCGACTCTTCTCTCCATATTCTGATTTTCAGATTTGCACAGGTACAAGAAAATTGTGTTGTAAACGTATTAATAAGTATATTTATTAATTCTGTCTATAGCGATAGGAAAAATCTACTCCTAAGCACTGAGCTCTCAAAGGTAAATATATCTGGTTTCATGCAATATGAGAAAGCAAAATTAATAAAGTTGAGGCACTTCGATTCACCAATTTAGACCCCCGGAAAAATATAAAACAATCAACAAGCAAAATAAGTGAAATATACTAAGCATAAATGCGAAAAAAATAGACGTTCAAACTAACCTTTTTCGCATTTAATTTCTTTATGGTATCCTCAAACTTCAACAGGTTAAACTCAAACATGCCTGCAGATATTTTCACATTGTTTTCGCACATGACAGAGTAGTTATAAAACTTCGGAGTAGATTAATTAAAATTTACCAAATGATTTATATAAATGCATGTTGTGTATTGAACGAACCCAAACCACACGTAATCACGTTGCCTTTCAAGCTCAATAAGTCCTTCAACTTTCAACTTTAATACAGTGCAGAAAGGTATATACAAGATTTTAAATTCTTATTCCAATTTATATTAGCGATTTTTATTTCACTATCAAATTGTTGTATAGAAATTGAACGTCTGCAAAATTATAAAATAATGTGTCAAACTTGAGCAAATAAACCGACAGGCAGTCCACGTCATTTGACACGACAACAGTTTTCTGAAGTTCAATTGAATTATGTTGCATTTCTTTTGCAATTAATGTCTCAGTTGACATTTTTATAGGAAAACTGGTTGTTTTATGTTGATAATGGAGATTGACAAAAATTGACAGGGTCCGTAAATAAATTTTATTTAATTTTCTTTGATTTCTTTTTTTTTTTTTGCGTTGCGTTGCGTAATAGTGTAATAAACTATGGTCTTCATTATAAATGTCGTGAAAATGAAGCTTCAGCTGTTACTTACAAACTCACGATCGATCGAAAGACAATTTAAGGAAGGCAGGTTTTAATAACAAATGTCTTTATATACAAACTATGTTTCAATGTGTTATTTCATTTTAATGTGACTTTATTTGCAAAATCTAGTAAACTGTGAAGAGTAGGTTTGGCTATGCGTGAACACACCTTCTTTTATATTTTGGTCAGATAGCTCCTCAAGAGGGATACAAGTATCTTTGGCTTTCGTTTTTTTGTTGTTGTAATGGGTTTGAGCATTCCTGTTAAAGGAAAACTTAGAAATGTGCTCCGGACGCACCACATTTATAAAGACTATAGACTAGGTGTTATTTTCATTTTTAGAACTAGTTATATTCTGATTGCATATTCAATAAATGTTAGACTAAATAGATTAGTTCCTTGAAAGTTGCGTAATTTGTTTTCAATCTAAATAATGCCCTGATCTTCGTTTAGCTTTCAATACGAACAATTTGTTTCGTCTTTGTGGGATTAATGTCATTGAGGATTCAGCTGAACGAATTAGTCACGTTTCTTTGACATTTACGTTTAGCCAACATGTGTCTTGTTGTTTAATAATATTAGATTGACAATGTATAGTGAGATCGTGAAAACTGATTATCACTGCAGTTAAAAAGTTGCTGCATTTTAAAAATCATGGAAAAGTTTTCTGATATATACGTTTCCTTGGTGCACGTAGGATATTTTCTGATATGCAGATAGGTTTACAGTCGTTAGATATAAGAAGATGTGGTATGAGTGCCAATGAGACAACTCTCAAAATGTATGTTTTTAATTTGTTCCACTCCAAGGTTCATAATTGGAAACTTGATGAATTTTTAAAAGTGTTTGAATTTTAAGTACATTTGTGTAGTTTAAATTGGCATTAGCTATGATTTAGAAAAAACGTAAAATGTGATTTTTTTGTTTTTTGTTTTTGGTTTCAAACATTTATTAAAGCGGCGTTGTATAAGAGCTTTCTGACAATTTGACGAAATGTACAGGCGGTTGACGAATCATACGTAAGACCCGGTTGAGGGATCCTCTATTTTTACTGTTCAAAATATGACATATCTATGTAATCATAATCAAGGTTGTCATGGGACTTAGCTGGCGTTTTATCTCAATGTTTGCCTTACAGAGACCATTATACTGCATGCAACGACACAGGTCAAACTTGAATTTTCGTTGGACATACGAATATTCGAAACATACGAGGTAAAAATATACCACCACAGGAAGGCGATAACTCACCAACATTTGCTAAACAAAGACCTCGTTAGAAGAAGAAAAATACCATTACAATAAAAGGTTGAGCTCACCCCTCCCCCTTTTCCCTAAAACAAAATAAATTAAAAATACATCTTTGCAATAATTAACGTAAGAAAATACTAGGCAAGTATATTTCCCGCCCCCAAAAAACCCAAAACTTTACTTCCTAATTTATAATAAATTCATTTTTTGCAACCCCCACCCCACCCCAACCCCCAAAAAACGAAATTGAAAAATGACCCCAAAATGTTATGGGTCTCGTTTAATAACTTTTATGGAGATTCCTCGAACACTCCCCCATTAATGGGTAATACCGCTTGTCGCCTTGTGTTGAGTATATACACACTAGCCATTAAGTTTACCTACGGAATCTTATTTTCAGCGCGTAATTGCGTTTGCTTCTAAGCGTGTTTAAAGTTAAATCATCAGTATTGAAATTAAGAATATATGTAGTGCAATATTGTTCATGCATTTTCTTGAGGATTCTTTCCGGATTGATCGTTTATTTTCATATATTGCTATGCATGTTTATTTTGTTAATTTTGTACACATTTGTATCCTCATTTATCCTGCATTTCATGTTGCAGAACATTCATTTTCATTCTGTCTTATGCGAAATCATTTATCTTTCAGTTCTTATAAGGTCAATGCAAGTTACTCATTTTCAAAATCATCCTCCCCCTCTGCCCCAAGAAACAAATGGTCGTCCCCTTGCCTTAATATGATTGAACTCTATTTAGGTTGGTGGTGATGATCATCCATGTTTTGGTTGGCTGTTGTATCGTTGACATTTGTCCTTAATATCTAAATCAAATCTGTTTGTGAGGGTGTGTGTGTGTGTGTTTATTGGAATCGACACGGGATTTCACGTGTTAACTCGTTTTTTGTTAACATTTGACCTTTAAATTAATAAACACAACTTCACAAAAAATCGCGATTTTTTCCGTCTTTCAGTTTGTTTGTTTTTTTTCCATACATTGTTGCATCCTTGTCTGGCACATATTGATGATCAACGTTGACAATTTGATAATGACAAAGTCATTGATAAATAAAAATAATTACGAATTGTGTCGTTCATTATTGAGTATCATACTTCAAGAATTTCATTAAAATGTTAAAAATTTAAACATTTAAAAAGCATGCATGAACAATTACCGCGCTAATGTGTGTAATCGTAATTAATATAAGCAACGTAATGGACCTAAGTTTTTTTTTAAACTATTTTTTCTTTATTTTCATATATTAAAATTAATGCGCGTTTTATTTGCGATATGCTTATATTTTTAAAGATATACCTTTGATTGGGAAGAGAATGCGGTTTTACCGGATAACACATAAGACTGCCAGTGTTATTGTGGGAATGTTATACATGCTCCCCTTTACGTTCGTTCGTACCTTTCGTTAAAATGTAAGTATAAGCTCTATTTAACCTTTGATGGAGATGGGTTGCGCATGAGCCAAGCACGTGGTTGAAAGGAATGTAATCTGAAAAGTGAAATTAGGAAAGGCAGCAACAGCTAGACACATTTCGTTGATTGATTCAACTCGCATAAAATAAGTCTTAAAACAGGTTATATGTATATAAACGATTTACATTTAGCGCATATGTTTTTACCTATAAAAGGAGAACAAACAGAACTAAAAAAAACCTTATACGGTTGCACGTGCTTACCTGGCTATTTGTTATTCATTATTACCTTTTTGTTTACATTATAATTGTAACGGGGTCGCATGCCCATCGACAATATTCGTGGGTCATGTCGATGGTGTCCAATGAGGAATACACATGAACAGTTGATACTTTATATCGATTGCAGACATTGTGTTTTGTATTCCATGCACATTTTGTAGTTCTGAATAGCGTTTTAGTAACCTTTGGTATGTATTAAATCAAATTTGGGAGTTTGGATCAATTCGGTGGGCAGCTAATGTCCCATTGTAAGCTTTGAAAATAAACTTACTGGCATCTAGTCATTTAGCGATTTACATATTTTTATGCATTATTGCAAATTATAAAGGACAAGGTATGATAAGGGACCTTTTTGTCCCCCACTTTAAATAAGTTTATATTTATATCAGTGATGGCCTTTGTATAGTATCTTGAACAAATAATGATTTTATTATATTCCGGTTTCCTAGCAACGGTTTTTACTAAATATCATAATTATCGCATATGCATTGCTTTATCTGTAAAAATTAGCACAATTTCAAATGGACTAGAAGTTACAAATTAATAGTCACTTCATTTTATTTTACTAAATATTCAAAAACACCCAACCAACATATAAATATTCCATATTCAACATATAATTTCTTTTTAATCGAGCGGCTGATATTTCACAACATCTACAGTATATTGAAAACATATTGTTGTGGTAATTGTATTTATTCAAGTGGTTCTTTTACGTTTTTGAAGCTAAAGTTGTGATAACTTTGGATCAAACTTGATATTGTTTGGCTTAGTTTTAAAACATGTAGTTCAAGATCTATGGTATCACAATACATGTAGTAACAAAGAAGTAAAATGCGTTTTCAAGCGATTTTGATACATGAATTGTGGTCGAATTTACGTGTTTTCTAACTCGCACACATAACGTTAAAGTGAGTATCAATTAAGATACTGGACCACAGTGATTGTCTACGTACATAAACAACGACTCCCTTCAAATATTAACATGGTTATTGCATGTTTCACTCACAAATTCAAGACGGAACCTATCAATGCTTGCAACGTTTTGTAAAAAAAAAATTGTATATAAATAAAAGCTGATAAAGAATAAAAGTTCATTGAAAAAGCAGACCAACGATACACCTAAACAAATTTAGAGGTCAACAAACGATCATCTGTTTTAATATAACGTTTATTTAAATAAAATAAATCCGATTACATATCTATATGAATCATAGAAAATACAGAATTAACAACAATTATACAGCAACCCAACTATATAAAAATAGGCGGAAGATATTTTAAGTTTGAAATCGACGTTTGATATCTGAAAAAATAGTATTATATCAATTTCAAAAGGCCAGGTCTGATCTTTAACTTGACCACAAAGTTCGAACTCGAGACTCAAACTAGACATGGAATTGGTATATTACACTTAAACCTGATGTCTAGGCAGACTCCTAAACCTTTTTGAATATTACTCATTTCGGTTTCTTTGTCATACATGAAGACAAGAAGAAATACATGTACATGTATGTGAATTTTTCTGGACGAACAGGACGATAATGGTACTCATGACAAGTCTTAGAATTTCGTCTTAATAATAAGTATAAAAAAATTTGATATA